AAAAAAAAAAAAAAAAAAGACTGTAGCAATTTCAAGCCTCATATCCAAGAACAACCATGTCCAGAAGGAGCATGAATCACTTCTGGAAGTTCTCCTGGAAAAGCTTTTCTGGAAGCATCCTGCAAACCTATCCTTGCAACTCATTGAGGTGAACTGGGGAACATGCATGATCCTAATCTAATCCCTGGCAAGAGGGTAATATTACCCTTAGACCAGTCCAGACCACCTCTGGAGCTGAGGATGCTGTGCTACACCAACTGTGGGTGAGAGAGAGATTCCTGAACATCAGAATTCTGCTGGACAGGGAGATCAGCTCTGTGCTTTGTGACCACCTAGAGGGGTAGGATAGGGAGGGTGGGAGGGAGACGCAAGAGGGAGGAGATATGGGGACATATGTATATGTATAGCTGATTCACTTCGTTATAAAGTAGAAACTAACACACCATTGTAAAGCAATTATACTCCAATAAAGATGTTAAAAAAAAAAAAAGAATTCTGCTGGGAAGGAAGAAAGAGGGAAAGGATGTTGAGTAGGTAAAGAACTCACTTTTTCCATACCTAGAATCTTGCAAACATACTTAAAAAAAAAAACAGCTCCTCTTATACACGAAAAGTTTATGCTTTATCTTAAGAAGTTCCTTGAGAGAAGGAAGCATGTTTTACTTTTGTTTATACTACTCTTATGTCTCACTCAATAGCCTGAACATAGTAGAATTTTGACTTTTTTTTTTGTCAACAAGCCTCAGTATAAGAAAATGGCCTAAATTATTTAACCTCTTGGATTCTTTCATAGATTGCTAAATTTTCTTGCTAATCAATCAACTTCTTTTTTTCCTTTGGCCACATGGCTTGCGGTATGTTAGTTCCAGACCAGGGATTGAACCTGGGGCCGTGGCAGTGAAAGCACCAAGTCCTAACCACTGGACCACCAGGGAACTCCCTACTAGTCAACTTCTTTGACTCCCAAGACTTACAACTGCTGGGGTAGTCAACAGGTTGACATTTATTCAACAACTGTGTTACTGTACTAGTGACTTTTTCTGGAAGAGCAAATCGTAGTGAAGCTCTTAAAGTTCCTTTTTCTTATCCAAATGAAGAGACTGCAGGGATGAAGGTGTTCTGCTTCTCTAAAGGCACAGTTGTCAGACTTAAAGTTCCAAATACTCCCCCAATTCAATAACTAGAGATGACTACTGATGATTATTTTTAATAGATGATTTTCAAAGATGTGAACGTTTTATATGATCCATGGAGATTTAAGTCTCTGAAGGAGAAAAAAATACATGCCTCTATACCAAAATTCATCACGAGGCAAACTTGGATCATCACTAAACTGACTCTTAAACCTCTCTCCTTATACTCCTAGGTTTGTGTGCGTTTGTTTTGTTTTGCTTTTTTCAGTTTGGGGCTGTAAGGTGATACTTATATTTTATAATAATGTCTCTTCAGTTGATTAGAGCCACTGACATAGTCCCTTACTTGACCAGGATGGTTGGCACTGGTGAGCTTGGTTCGTGGAAAGTGCCTTTGACTTGGAGATGGAATCTCAGCCCACACCACTGCTGTGACCAGGAAGTAAGCACTGAATCACTCAGCTTCTCTTGCACAAATAGGGATTACGATTGCTGCTTTCGACACGGCCGTAGACTAAATGGGATTCGGTATCTAAGCCCAAATCCAGGCACATAATATTAATTTAACGATTCAATACACTTGTTTCCTCATCCATTTCTCCAAACATTCCAACTAATCCTAAACCTCCAAATGGGCCAGGATTCAGCAAAATGAAGAAGTGGCCTGCCTGGGACATGGGGGTGGGGGGTGGGGGGTGGCGGGGCCGCCAACCCGTGTCGTAGTCTAGGGGTGGCTCGGCCTCCCACACCGAGACCCGCGGCCAGAAAGCTCCTCGCGTTCCAGGAACCCGGATGCAGGGCGTCGCCAGGGGTATCTTGCCCAGACTTCGCCCTCCGTGGAGAGGGGAGGGGCGGGAGCCGAGTGAGGGCAACGCAGTACACCGGTTGGAATCATCGCAACTCGGGCCACGGCGGCGGACGCAGGCCCACCTGTCCGAGAGAGCGGGGAGCACGGGCAAAACGGCCGAGGCCCACGTCTCGGAGTGGGCAACTCCCAGCCAGGGCGCGCCGGTCGCTTCCAGGCGGTTTCCAGACCTTCAGAAGCGGAAGCGGGTCCCGGGAGTGCGCCCCGGCGCGAGTGGGCGGGGCCGCCCTCCCGGAAGTGCTTGCGGCCTCGGGCTGGCGCGCTGCGCAGCGCAGCGGTATGCACAGTTCCCCAGTCTGTTACGGCTGTGTCTGTCGGGGCCGGGCCCAGTCGGTTTTGCTGGCTTCTCTGAGAGGGCGGGAGCCTTTTAGGGCAGCGATCCCGCGGTGGAAAGGGAGGGGGAGTCGTAGGGGACCCTGGCCCTTGCCCCAGCTAGAGAGGGAAGTTTGGCCGGCCTGCGGGCGAAAGCGTCGGTTCCCTTTCCACAGGGAAGGGGCGGATGGACGGGCTTCTGACTCCCAGGGAGTCCGCAGAATTCATTGCGGAGAACAGTCGAGATGTGTTCATTGACGGCGGAGGCGTGCGGAGAGTGGCCGAGCTTCTGCTGGCCAAGGCCGCGGGGCCCGAGCTGCGCGTGGGGGCCTGGAAGGCCCTTCACGAACTGAACCCCAAGGCGGCGGACGAGGCCGCCGTTAACTGGGTGTTCGTGACAGACACGCTCAACTTCTCCTTCTGGTCGGAGAGTGACGAGCACAGATGTCTGGTGGGGTACGGGGGGAAAACGTACAGTGGGTACTGGTCCCTGTGCGCCGCGGTCAACAGAGCGCTGGAGGAAGGTTGGTGCCCCTTCTCCCGGTCAGACCCAGCAGCTTTGAGGTTTCAGCTTAGTGGGAGGGTCCCACAGAGCGGGTTGGGAGATGGAATAATGTGTTGATAAGGCGAAATTGAAGTTCTTCACTGCCTGTACCTCTGCTTAAAAGTATGAGAAGAGGCTGGCATGAAATCTTTTTTCAGTGGGAAATGATTCTAATATTTATCATTGTCAGAGCTAAGTCAAAGTCAGTTTTCTTTTCTTTTCGGTACGTGGGCCTCTCACTGTTGTGGCCTCTCCCGTTAAGGAGCACAGGCTCCGGACGCACAGGCCCAGCGGCCACGGCTCACGGGCCCAGCCGCTCCGGGGCATGTGGAATCTTCCCGGACCGGGGCATGAACCCATGTCCCCTGTATCGGCAGGCGGACTCTCAACCGCTGCGCCACCAGGGAAGCCCCAAAGTCAGTTTTCTAAAGAATGCCACTTTGATGGCATCTGAGGAACAAAGGGCAGAAGTTATAACACATTTTACACAGTCAAAATACATCTGATGTAATATTACAATTGTTAGAAGTGGATGAATAAATACAAGCAAATAGAGAATGAGGGATCTGCTTCTGATTTTTAATTACTCATCCACTTTTACTGCATTCCTGTAACAATTATGCATTCCTTTAACAATTATGTGGTTTCATTTTAATTGTGTTGCAATAGCAAGGGCCTAATGAATATAAATGTATGACATTGTTCCAATGCCTTTTCTTTTCTCCCCAAGGGATACCAATAACTAGTGCTTCGTACTATGCCACAGTTACCCTGGATGAGGTTCGGCATATACTCCGTTCTGACACAGACGTCCCCATGCCTTTGATAGAAGAGAGGCATCGGATTCTCAATGAAACCGGGAAAATTCTGCTTGAGAAATTTGAAGGCTCTTTTCTTAATTGTGTCCGAAAAAGTGATAAAAGTGCTCAGAAGTTATTGCACCTGGTAGTTGAAAGCTTTCCTTCTTATAGAGATGTGACTCAGTTTGAGGTGAGTTGCTTCTGTTGGCCATTTTTTTTTTTTTTTTTTTTTTAAATATACTTATTTATTTTTTGGCAGCATTGGGTCTTCGTTGCAGTGCGCGGGCTTCTCATTGCAGTGGCTTCTCTTGTTGCGGAGCACGGGCTCTAGGCGCGCGGGCTTCAGTAGTTGTGGCACACGGGCTCAGTAGCTGTGGCTCACGGGCTCTAGAGCACAGGCTCAGTAGTTGTGACGCACAGGCTCAGTTGCTCTGCGGCATGTGGGATCTTCCCTGACCAGGGCTCAAACCCGTGTCCCCTGCATTGGCAGGCGGAGTCTTAATCGCTGTGCCACTAGGGAAGCCCCTGTTGGCCATTTTAGAGTTAATTATCTTCTCATAGTTAACTCTTTTACTTCCAGAATTCCTTTTGAGAATAAAAATTTAAATTTTGGAATTTTTTTCCACGTGGAACAAAGGAACAATAGCAAAATTATTAAGTAGTGTTTCAAAGATATTACTTTTCTTAATGTTCTCTAATCAGTGTATTCTCTTTATTCTGTCCTTTAAAATGTTTCAAACCTGAATTAACACTAGACCTTCAACAGGATGTTGTCACTTAGGGATAGTGAGGTCCTTTTAGTACTTCAAAAAATTTACTTCATTGGATGAAAATCAGGATGTATACTAAATTCTCTCTAATAAAAAATATTTCTTGCAGAGTTCTAATGTATATATACTGTGTGTTTTCTTTTTCATACACAGGGTACTTTAACAGTATTATTTGCTTTATGGTACAAAAAAGTTTAAATAGGCGTTCTTTTAAAAGGGTGAATATTTTGTGTACTCTCCCAGTGTACACTTGGATTTTGCTTTTGTATAATTCTTTTAGAATTTGTTATCACTGTTTATTTTAACTGTGATGTAGAATTGAAAGCAACTTCAGGGGGATCATATAAAGTAAATCTATTGACTAAGTTAATGAATACTTGTGTCAACTTAAAATTTTGAAGCTACCCTTTTGTAATCACAATTCAACAACTAAAATTACCAGTAATATTGTTCAAATCGTTCTTTATGATTTACAAGGTGTTTGCACACTCATTTGATCCACAGAACAGCTCTGTGGGGCCTAGGGACAAGGAACATTACAGTCCTGTTTGCAGACCAAGAACCAAAGTCTGAAAAAAAGAAAGGTTATCTAGTGTATCTTAGGTCATTTAGTCAAGAAATAGCTAGCTTTTTAATTCTGCTGTAAAGTGAGAGATGCCTGATTATGTATGTTAAGATTCTTTTAATTGCAACTGACAGACACAAAACAAGAAAAAACTTAAGCAAAAAGAATTTGGGGATAGGTACTGGGGATAAACATCCAGGATCAGGGACTCAATGCCATCAGGATTCAGTCTCTCTTCTTTGTTTCTCTTGACTCAGTTTTTCCCTTACCGCAGACCAGCTTTCTCCATGAAGTAGAAAAGGTCCATGAATTTTGCATTTTATCACTTCAGCCATCAGGGAGAGAGGGAGAAACTTCCTCTGGGTTCTAAAACTCCTGGGTGAGGACTGAATGGACCAGACAGAGGCAGTTCTTAGAAAAGAGGCCCTAGGCCACTGTTGAACTTTATTCTCTTCTGAGGAACCATTTTACTAATGCAGAGGGTACTTTGAGATTTATCTTTGTCTTCAAAGTATGTCGTTTCAACCTTGTTTTTCAGGAAATTTGGATCAAGTTCCTTGGTCCATCATTCCGACCATTTATAAATATATTAAACAGTGTATAAAATAAATCAAACTGCCATTAATGTGGCTAAGACTCTGTGTATTCCAGAACTAACATGGTTGTTGTAGAAAAAGGGCTGAGATTAAATCTAACATGACTTCAGGATGGAATGAATTCAGGACACCATGTAGTTTATTTACTTTCAAGTTGTCCTGAATTTTTGTCTTTGTGAAAGAAAGGAGTTATTTTTTGGTAGATTATGGTGTTGATTTAGTAAGCATTTGTTGAATTTCTCTTTTATTTACAGCATAGTGCTTTCTTTTGATTTGTTATGTATGCTGAAAAGTTCAGTTAAAAACTGTACCAGGATATAGATTAATTTTAAGGCTGGTACATTTTAAATGAAAATTAGTACCTGAACCATTTCCTATCAGTATTTATTTCTAAAATACATTCTTACAGAAGTATCGCCAAAATGTAACAAAAATCAAGCCTAAACCTTTTAACACTTTCCTAAAGGAGTATTATATTTTTTCATGTATTTTTTCATAAGATTATTATTATTGTTACTCAAAAGCACTATATTTCTGAAAGCCATATGATTCCTAACATAACACTGAGCATGTAGTGGGTGCTCACTTAACCCTTTGATTAGTTACTTTACAGTTACTTTTGCATATTCATTTAAAAAATATATAAATAGTTAGAGCACTTTGCTCAATTAATTCCAAGTCTAAAGGAATTCTAATTAAGTTTGGGCGCTGCTTCTGAATTCAGAAAGTGCTAAAATCAAATGTCTTTTAATCCATATTTTAAAATTTTCTAATTGCAAAAGTGAAACAAATTAATACAGAATTTGGAAGGTACAGAGGAGCGGAGCAGTCTTTATTCTGCCAAGAGGTAACCACTGTTCACAATCTGGTCTTTTTCTCTGTGTGTGTGAATGTGTATACATATGAGTGGGGGAGAGTTATGCTATACAAACTGTTTTAAAATTTAACATATTATGAGCATCTATGTCAATAAAAATTCCTTCACAGCACACTTTTTTTTCCATACTACTATTTTTAATGATTTCACAGTATTCCACCATATGGATGTACATTACCATAATTATTTGCCCTAACTATTTTACCAGAATAATTGTGATACACAGTTTTAGTTTTTAAATTGAATTTTGTATCTTATTGTTTTCAGTTTTATATAATAATAAGCAATACTGACAACAGTTCACACCCATAATATTTTCTTAGGATGGATTCCTAGTAATGGGATTACTGAGTCAGAGCATGGCCAGGATTTTCAGGCTTGTGATACATAAAAATGGTAACTCTTCTCCAGAAAGATGATCAGCCACAGCGTATTGGAATGCCCTTTTCCCTGCTCCTTCGTAATATGGTCGTGGTATTGGTTGCTGTATTTTTTAATCTTCAGCAAGTTACATAAAAATAGTTACAATTGTTTTTAATGTTTATTTAGTTACTGCGAATATCATTCATTTTTAGACATTATGAAGAAATTAATGAAATTAGAAAATTTGTCTAAATGAGACAGTTTTAGATCAATGGTTTCCCATCCTGGCTGTGCCCCAGAATCAGGAAGCTTCAGAATTCAGATACATTTCCAAAGCACCATCCTCAAAGATTCTGATCTATGGGTAAAAGAACTTTTTTTTTTTTTTTCTTGCGTTATGCGGGCCTCTCACTGTTGTGGCCTCTCCCATTTGCGGAGCACAGGCTCCGGACGCGCAGGCTCAGCGGCCATGGCTCACGGGCCCAGCCGCTCCGCGGCATGTGGGATCCTCCCGAAACGGGGCACGAACCCGCGTCTCCTGCATCGGCAGGCGGACTCTCAAGCACCGCGCCACCAGGGAAGCCCAGAACTATTTTTTTTTAAGCTCTTCAAGTGACTCTGATTTAGACTATTCAGTAGCTATATAAAAGTCCTAATTAATAGATTGGCTTCCTTTACGCTGATGTACTGATAAATATACATGAAAAGCATGAGCTTTTCTGATATTTTAATTGATAACATTTTATGTTACTCTTAAGCATTTGTAATTTTTGACCTTTCTAATTTGTTCATAATAAGTTTGTTGCAGAAAATCAACTCATGGTTATAGAGTTTTACACTGGTAATTACTTTATAAAGGTACTATTTTGAAAATGCTTCATTCACCAAGCAATATTATGGAAATATAGGGTAATTGTTATTTGAGGATTTACTGGTATTTTCAGTGATATCAGTTAATATTTTACAGATGTAGAATTTTATTACTAAAATTATTTCATTACTAAAAACCATATCAGCTTGTTAAGAAAATGTTTTATAGGTGATTTAAGTTTATTTTTAGATTCCTTGCTTGAATTTGTTTTTGTTTTTGTTTTCATTTTAGGGTATTATAATCTAATCTTTGTGATACTAATTGGCTACCATGGAAACAGTGCTCATGATGTGACAATTTGTGTTTTGTTAGATGCCAGCACTCATTTTGTTATATAAGTCTGGTTCCTAGATTTTTCCAGTTTGCTCTATGAATCCTGTTAAAAATAGGAGACAATAGCTTCTATCATAATAAATATTATGATGTAATAATTTTGTTTGAAACAGTTTTATTTTGCAAATTAAGTTTTATGCCTTGCTGTTTAATAAAGTAGACTTGAATTAGAAACCTAGTTACCATATATAAGTCCAGTGTATATAGAGGAACAGCTGCCAGGTTGTCATATTTTGATAGGTTTGAGAATATAGATTATTAGCAAATGATATAGGGATATTTCTTAGTGGTGATTTGTTCCCCCAGCACTCAGTGTAATTTACAGTCTTTACACTATGTCAAAAAATGAGTGTATGTGTTTGCCCTAGAAAACAAGATATCCGCTCTTTTAGTGGTGGCCTTAGAAAATTTAGTTTAAAAAAAAAAAAGAAATGAAATTTAGTTTATTTAGTAAAAGTAAGTCTGGATTGATTGTAAGAGGTATACCTTAAGGTTAAGGAATATTAGGTTATTTCTCATTAGGACAGTGTAGCATTGGAGGTTTTTTTTAGTAAATAAAGGAATCTATATTATCATCTTAAAGAATTTTTATATGGAGTCTTTCCTTGAAGAATTTAATTTCATTTTTTATTTACTTCTTTATGTCATTTACTTATTTAAACATTCTTCAAGGTGGTCAGAGTATATTTTGAGAGCCAGTGATACTGATTATTCACATTTAGCAGACTAGCAGTTATAAAAGATGATTTGAGGTTATTAGCATTGGTGTTAGGACTAGGAGTAGACTGTAATTATCTATGTTTTTCCATAGTGAAAGCTAATGAGCATTTGTACTTTTATAGAGAGTTTAAAAAAATTTATTTATTTATTTATTTGTTTGGCTGCACCGGGGTCTTAGTTGCGGCACATGGGATCTTTAGTTGCGGCATGTGGGATCTAGTTCCCTGACCAGGGATTGAACCCAGGCCCCCTGCTTTGGGAGCATGGAGTGTTAACCACTGGACCACCAGGGAAGTCCCTATAGAGAATTTTTGAGTTAAATTATGACCCATTATCTTATAATGCCTGGTTAAATTTGTTTCTTCCATGTATAAATATAATTGGTAACTAATTTTGTTATATGGAATTACATATTAACTTGGACCATTTCCAAAAAGGGTAGACTTGATAAATTATAGCTGTTGATCAGTTTTGTCTTTATCTCTGAAATAAGTTAATTATTTTATCTGAAAGGAAACATTAAAAAATGGATGTTGTAATTCTCTTCAGAGGTGAATTTAGGAATGATTATTTTCTTCTTTATACTCTTCCATATTTTATACAATTAATGTGAATTATGTTGCAATCAGAAAAACATATATTTTTTAACTTAAGAAACTTTCTAAAGAAATGCTATCTAGCCCTTAACAATAGCAAGCAGGTGGATTATAGTGACACAGAAATATGTATATGAAGTAATGCCATTGAAAAAGAATACTAAATAGTGCCATGATTACATAAATTGTATTTTATGTGCTTTGAAAAATATAGGAAGTAAATTTGGAGTGATAGAGATAACTTAGTATTTATTAGACCCCTTCTTTTCTTCTGTAAAAGGCCTATAAATTCTTACCAAAGAGTAAGATTATTCCACCCTTGAAAAATGTTTTCTATGTGTGCCTTTTTTTTAATAGCATACATAAAGCTTTCACATACCCAGGTAACATTTATATTCTCCTCATTCATCAGGGGAAAAGAATTTCTTTTTACAAACGGGCCCAAATCCTTGTGGCAGATACGTGGAGTGTATTAGAGGGAAAAGGAGACGGCTGCTTCAAGGACATCTCCAGAATCACCATGTTTGCTGACTATAGATTACCTCAGGTTCTTGTTTACCTGGGAGCCCTGAAGTACTCTGACGAACTACTGGAGAAACTTCTCAAAGGTTTGCCAGCTTAATTAAGCCATTCTTTGTTATACTATGAATTGTTGGGTCTTTGTCTAGTTTCTTTCACAAAAGGTCTTCTTTCCTTAAAAAGCAAAACAAAACACTATTATTGTTAAAAGCACATGTAAAGAAGAATGCAGGGGCAATTAAATTACAAAGAAAATTGCTTTTTGTTGTTTACAGTGTAGAATATAGATATTGTTGGAAATCACACTATTTGGACATCATCATTTCAGAGTCTTATAATAAAATGAAACCTAAATTTATGTCACGTGAAGGTGTGCAACACTAAGACAGTTCAGGTTTGCATTTAAAGAGTGTTAAGCTGAAGAGCACACTACACTGTGAAATAAAAGGTGCGCTGAGGGCTTCCCTGGTGGTGCAGTGGTTGAGAGTCCGCCTGCTGATGCAGGGGACATGGATTCGTGCCCCAGTCCAGGAAGAGCCCACATGCCGCGGAGTGGCTGGGCCCGTGAGCCATGGCCGCTGAGCCTGCGCGTCCGGAGCCTGTGCTCCACAACGGGAGAGGCCACAGCAGTGAGAGGCCTGCATACAGGAAAAAAAAAAAAAAAGGTGGGCTGAGAGAGAGGTAATATGTACTGGATTTTGCATTAGGAGGCTCCAAGGTCTGTCACTGGCTTATCTTGCACAAGTCACTCACTTTCCTAGGCTTATTTATTTACCATTATTGGGTTTGATTATTGATTCTCAAGAGTGGGAGCCTTATTATAATATGTGAGTATAGATAATTGTGTTTGTATGAGAAGTAGCTTTTTGTTTTTTAAACATTTCTTTGTATAAGGAAAATAATTATACTGTACAATTGTCATGTTAATTTCTCTTTTAGGTACAGTATTTTCAGCTACTTTTTTCTTTATTTTTAAAAGAAGTAGTTTTTATGATTGAATAATTTTCTCTTGTGAAATAGATTTCAATCACCCAAAATAAGAATAGCACAGGATATAAAAGTACCATTATTCTTATGATTGCTTCTACCAGGTTTTTATGCAGCCTTGGGCAATCCGTTTTTTTTTTTTTTTTTTTTTTTTTTTTTTGCGCTCAGCGGCCCAGCCGCTCCGCGGCATGTGGGATCCTCCCAGACCGGGGCACGAACCCGTGTCTCCTGCATCGGCAGGTGGACTCTCAACCACTGCGCCACGAGGGAAGCCCGGGCAATCCGTTTTGCCCATTTCCTCATTTGAAAAATAACAAGCTATTTTATATCACAATGCTCATGTCTGGGGTCATTAATTGTTGGATGCCTTTAAAAGGGACAACATTTAGCAGTCAGGGCTTCTACATACAGCCATATTCAGCTGATCTTTTTTTTGGCCAACGTATAGAATGTTCATTCCTATCTCTAAACACACTCTTGCTTGGTTTCCCTCACCCAGATTTTCTTTATTTCAGTTCAAATCCTACACATCCACAAAGGCTTAGTTCAAATGTTACCTCTTCCACATAGCTTTTCCTAACTCTCCATGCTTTCTCCATCTCCTTCTCCTGAGTTTTTAGAGCACCAAGTTGTCTCTGCTACTGTGAGAAAAACTCTGGTGAGAAGGGATCACCCAGCATAGTTGTACAGAGTTGTCTGAATTTTCTGCTACCATCCATTTCACCTCCAGAGGCTCTTTTCCAGATGTCCAGCTGCAGCTGTTACTGCCTCTTATTACATCCAGCTTCAAACTATCCTTCGCTAGTTTGTCATAGGGGGAGCAAATTCCCTTGCCTCTTAGTCTATTTAAGCAAAGTTGGAGGGTTTTTTTTCCCAAAAAAGTACTTTACTAGCAAACTAGAGGAGAAACATTGATAGAACCTATAAATATAAAGGAACACACATAAGGCTAGGACACTGATTTAAAACATTTTTTTTTAATATTTATTTATTTGGCTGCGCCAGGTCTTAGTTGCAGCATGTGGACTCTTTTAGTTACAGCACGCGAGCTCTTAGTTGCAGCGTGCGGAATCTAGTTCCCTGACCAGGGATTAAACCTGGGCCCCCTGAATTGGGAGCATGGAGTCTTAACCACTGGACCACCAGGGAAGTCCCTAAAGATTATCTTAAGTGAAATCTAGAACCAGGTCGCTTGATTAGATGAGGTAGAAACTTTCTTAACTGATATCCAGTGATACTTTTTCCAAAATTGAGGATATGCTACACGTATAATTTTTTCTTCTCTTCTCTTCTGGGTAGGGCAGCCCTTGGAAGACCTACCTAGATTTCTGTTCATTTTATCTTTAGCCCATCTCTTCGCCAAAGGCATTTTTTTTAGCTAGATATAAAGACTGACAATGCAGTTTGGCTAAATAGATTCTTCATTGTGATTCTAAGGCTGACTTTTAGGCCTAATATGTTGGCCAAGTTACCTTCCCTGACTCTAATCTATGTCAGTCCTCTCAAATGGTTTCATTCTTTTTCTGTTTCAAAGTCCATGTCCTATTCCATACTATAAGTTGCTGTATTAGTTACTTTGTTAGTTTCCTTATGGCTGACATAACAAATTATCACAAACTTGATGGCTTAAAACAACAGAAATATATTCTTTCATGTCTCTGGAGGCTAGAAGTCTGAAATCAAGGTGTTTGCAGGGCCATGCTTGCTCCCTCTGAAGGGTGTTGGGAAGAATCCTTCTTTGCCTCTTCCTAGCTTCTGGTGGCTGCCAGCAGTCCTTGGCATTCCTTAGCTTTGTAGCTGCATCACTCCAACCATGGCTTTCTTCACTGTGTGTCTTCTCTGTCTCTTTGTATCCTCTCCTTTTTTTTATGAGGACAGCAGTCATGGCATTGAAGGCCCATCCTAACACAGTTATGACCTCATCTTAACTTGATTACATCTGTAGAGGCTCTTTACGAGTAAGGCCACATCCACAGGTACCAGGAGTTAGGACTTGAATGTATTTTGGCGGGGGTGGGGTGGGGGGGGGAAACACAGTTCAACTCTACAGTTATTTGTTACTGTGTAACAAATTATGCTCATATTTAATGACTTAAAGTAACAAACATTATCTCACAGTTTCTATGGATCAGGAATTTGGGTGCTGCTTAACTGAGTGCATCTGGCTCAAGGTTGCAGTCAAGCTGTTAGCTGGGGCAGTGGTCTTATCTAAATGGCTCCACTTGGGTGTGGTATCTACCTCCAAATTCACTGTCATGGTTGATTTCACAAATCTGGCAAGTTGATAGTCAAGTTTGAAGGAGTTGATTAGCAAGAGAACTGAAGAATGGATTTGTACGCTGGCACCTGGGGCAAAGTAAGGAAATGGAGGGACACAGCCAGTGTCTGTTCTTCCACCTGCCCCAGGGATCAGGGAGAGATGGATGGAGGGGACACTATTTAAGATCCTAGGTGACAGAGTGGAACTCAATGGGGCTAGGGTATTTTTCCTAGGTCTCAGTGGATCACAGGGCCTCTCAGGTACTGTGAAGCTCTGTGCAAGGGTACAGATTGGTGGCCAGAGGCCAAATATAGCTTGCAGATGTGTTTTGTTTGGCTTGAACAGTGTTTTAAGTGATTTTTAATTAGTTATCAGCACTTGACAAATAGGAGATTTCACATGAAAATCAACTTTCTGGCTTGTCTTGTAAGAGTAGAGAAATATAGGTACATTGGGTTTACCTTTACACAGGGCAGCACATGCTCTCTAGCTCACCACAGTTTGCATCTGGCAGCTGCATCCACGTACTCTATCTGGCTTATCTTTATAGGCAGTTGAGTTGATGAGCCCAACTCTAGTCTCCCTGGCAAAGCACTGCCAGCACCCACCCTGCAGGATCAGATATACCCTGGAGATGGGCGCTGAATATACTGCAGGTCCTATAGGAGCTCGCGGCTCCATATTCAGGCAGAGCTGACTAAAGGATCCTGAATCCAGGATGTGAGGGCAATCTGGCTGCGACATCTGTCACCCCATTGATGGCCAGGGTTGATTCGGCTGATCTGGCCGGCTAGGCGGGTGTCCTCGTCCTCCCTCACCGCTCCACGTGCGTCCCTCCTGAAGCTGCATGCTCGGTGGAAGAGGACGACCTTCCCTGATAGAGGAGGACCATTCTTTGGTCAAGGGTATACGAGTAGCTGCGCTCCCCTGCTAGAACCTCCAAACAAGCTCTCAAGGATCCTAAATCTGAAGAATGATGATGGTTTTCCTTGCTCAAGCTAAGAACTTTGATTTCCTAGGTTTTCCTTGATGTACCTGGCATGTCCCCAAGACAGTGTTAAGTGGGGAAGGGAGGTACTGTTTACTTGGCCCCCTAGGAGTCCTCCACATTTTGCAGTAATGTTTTTATTTTTCCTGACATTAAACCCAAAATTTAAATCCTCTCTAAAAGTAATTTAATAATCTTGCTGTCATATTTTAAAATGTATGGTTAGGGACTTCCCTGGTGGTGCAGTGGTTAAGAATCCACCTGCCAATGCAGGGAACACGAGTTCAAGCCCTGGTCCGGGAAGACCACACATGCCGCAGAGCAACTAAGCCTGTGCGCCACAACTACTGAGCCTGCACTCTAGAGCCCACGAGCTACAACTACTGAGCCTGCGTGCCACAACTACTGCAGCCCGAGTGCCTAGAGCCTGTGCTCCGCAACAAAGAGAAGCCACCGCAACGAGAAGCCCACGCACCGCAACAAAAAGTAGCCCCCGCTCGCCGCAACTGGAGAAAGCCTGTACACAGCAACAAAGACCCAGCATAGCCAAAAAAAAAAAAAAAAAGTATGGTTACCCCATACTTTTTGTTTATTGGGGAGCTAGTATATGCAGGGTGCTAGGTTAGGTCCTAAGGATATTGGGACAACTAAGCCAGACATGGTCCTTGTCCTTGTGGAACTTAACTTGCAATTTTGAATTAATGCCTTTTAGAAATGGTTTAAATTACCAAAAATCTGAGATTTACAATTTTAAAATCAGTACTATTTAAATACTGTGTTTTGTCCTATAGTAAAGTTTTGAGTAGATTTCATTTCATTGACTATTAGTGCTTCTTGCTCTGTCTTTTTTCCCTTTCAGGAGAAGTGCTTTCGTATGGGAATAGGCAAGAGGTGGAAATCAGAGGGTGTTCACTTTGGTGTGTTGAGCTGATCCGGGATTGTCTTCTGGAGCTTACTGAAAAAAAGGATGAAAAAACTAGTGGAGAGATCAATTCCATTCTTCTGGATTATTTCTTATGGGACTATGCCCGTGATCACAGGGAAGATATGAAAGGAATTCCATTTCATCGCACACGTTGCATATATTATTGACCCACAGTGTAAACCGATCCTAAAAAAACTTGCATTTTTTTTTTTTCTTTGCGGTATGTGGGCCTCTCACTGTTGTGGCCTCTCCCGTTGCGGGGCACAGGCTCCGGACGCGCAGGCTCAGCGGCCATGGCTCACGGGCCCAGCCACTCTGCGGCATGTGAGATCTTCCCGGACCGGGGCACGAATTTGTGTCCCCTGCATCGGCAGGCGGACTCTCAACCACTGTGCCACCAGGGAAGCCCTTTTTAGGGCTTGCATTTTTATATCACATAATTATTTGTATAATTTTGCTTTGTTATTAGAGAAGGTGGTAGAGGTTACAGCAACAAGAAAATTGATTACCCAGGCTCTCTTAAAATATTTTTCCTGACATATCACTCTGTATTGCCAACTTTTTCCTTTGTTTGCATGTTTAGTTCTAACTATATTTTCCTTTTCTGTGGATATATGACAGAAATAGTAAAGGAAATTTAATGCTTTCTTTAAATCTCAGATTTCTTTTTTTTACTTCTTTATTGGAGTATAATTGCTTTACAATGGTGTGTTAGTTTCTGCTTTATAACAAAGTGAATCAGTTATACATACACATATGTTCCCATATCTCTTCCCTCTTGCGTCTCCCTCCCTCCCACCCTCCCTACCCAGATTTCTTAAAATTAATCATGCCTTATAATATTATTGATCTTTGGTAATAATATTTCATCCATTCAATTGGTATCTTTTTTCAAGGTGTCGTAATTTTCTATACACCTTAATCATTTGATATAAGAGAGAGAGAAAGTAGGGTCTTTGCTGTATGAATGCTGCTGCTCTTATAGAAATCAATCTTGACAGATTTTTAAAAACTTCTTATTGATAAACATAATGATTTTCAATTTAGGGTATCTGTCCAGTTTTCTTTTTTTCCTTTGGAGTAACTACATTAGAATTTATTGAATAAAGATGTTTTAAACTTCTCTTAAATCTGGAATGAATTATTTCATTAAAATAGAATTTACCACACATACTTTTAAAAGGTTTACAACGAATTTGAGTATTTACTTTATGTTGCAGGACTCTCATTACCTACCAGCAAGCACTCATCTCCTACCTTCATCCCCACCTCCCTTCTAATGTAATCTTGATTTTTGTTACCTACCTTATCACCTCACTGTGACTTTGTGTGAATCAGAAAAAGCCGGCCTTTCTCCAAGCACTTCACTGCCATCTGCTGGAAACTTGTCATAATAGCTTTACAAATGACAATGAGTGGGAATGTGAGTGGGGCCCCCTGGAGTCCTGTGTTGCACAACTTGCCCCACCAGAAGTAGTGGTCTTGTATCTGTCTCTCCCCTATGTGACTAAGGGGAAGGTGATCTTGTCCCTGGTTCTGGAGAGAGACCCGAGTTAATATGAATGGTGTATTATTCATGATAATCCTATTCTCTGCCTGTGATTGTTCTAATAATAGATATATAATCTAGTTCTGGCCAGTGACACTGGAGGGCAAGTCTGCAGGGAGGCTTATGGGAAAAGGTTTCTTCACTTTTAAGAAGGGGCCATGGGAGAAGATCCCTCTTCTTTCTCTGAGCAATGTTTTGCCTTAAATGTGATACCTGAAGCTGTAGTAACGATTGTGTGGAGCCAGATCCCTCTTGAACCTGCCCTGCCTGAGTCCAACCTAGCTGTGGCCTTCATTCCTGAGATAATGAGCTCAGCACCTTATTATTGCCATAATTTTGAATTAGTTTTCTGTAGAAAGTATCATAGTTAATAGTTTCCAATTTAACCCGCTCTTACAAGGCTCCAGGAAGCGCAAGCAGAACAGTTGCTTAGACCTCAGGGCTGGCCCAGCTCCTCCTCCTGTCACCCTTCTTGCTCCTTGCCCTGTCCTGCCCACCCCTGTACCCTTTCCCCTGCTTCCTGTCTTTTCCCTCTTCTCCCTCCTCCCCACCTCTCCCTCTCCTCCCCTCTCCTTCCCCCTCCAGGCTCAGCCAGCTCTGGGCTTCCTGCTTTCCCCATTTACTTCTCCATCATGTAAAAGACAGGGAAGGCAGTTTAGGGCTGTATGGTGCTCCTTGATGTCCAAGACGCAGCTGTCTTTTCTCTTGTTTACACAGAGCATAGCCTGGACTCGCGATCCAAGGTGTCTGCGTTCTAATCTAGGCAGCAGGGTTGAAGAAGCTATGAAGTTGAAGAGTGCAAGGTTGACAGGAAGGCTCTAGCAGTACCACATGCAGTTTTGCTTTCATTTCACTGACTAGAACTTAGTCACATGACCACAACTTACTGCCAGGGAGGCCAGGGAACTATTCTCTATTCCAGGCATTGGGTACCAGCTAAACTAAGGAGTGTGGATGAATATTAAGAAACAGCAAGTTTTCGTCATCATGCATGGATTTTATAGTTTTCATACCTGATACAGACTAAGAATTTAAATAACAATTCACCTAATGGTTTTAACAGCCAATGATGCTCACTTTCCAGATCTTTTGTTTCATTAGGGATTGCAAAATAGTAATATTCTAATTCTAATATTCTTGGTTGTGTGAGCCTTGCACAGAGAGAACTCTCTTGATGGATTTCAGGATAGACTGAGGAGCATAATGAACTTGGAGCCACAGCTCCTGAAGTTCCAGAAGATGAGAATGTAGAAATAGGATCTAGAAAGGTTTCTGGTTATGTTGATTTATTGTGCATGCTAATCTCAAAGACAATTAATGTAAATGTCCACAGTTCCTGGAGCCCTTCCCCGCCCTCCCCATCACAGCCCTCCATTCAGGGGAGTCCTTTGTTTACTGTCGTTAAACCAGTTCCCTAGCAGAGATCAAACGTTAGTTCTGATTCCTTGGTGACTGTTTCCTTCAATAGCTTTTGCTTTGCAACAAGCTCAAAAAACATTTTTTAAAAACATATTTCATTGATTTCTTTAGGATTATCTGGTGGTTTAGCCGTGGTACCATGTCGATGTCTTCCAGCCAAAGTAAACAGGTTGGGTTAATTACTTGTTGCATCATGGGATGTCTCAGTAAGAGGATGCCTTGGGACAGGGTCTAAGGAAGCAAGGTTCTCTCTAAATTGGGTGCCATCAGCCAAAGGCAATTCTACCTTTGGCTATCTCAAATCTTATCCATAAGGAGGGCAGGCTGAAGCAAGGAAAAACAGAAATTGGTAAAGAAACATCAGTCACTCATTTCAGCCATAGTAGGATGTTTGGTTCTGTGTGTGTGGCACAGTAGCCTAGGCAAAATTATCAAGTGGCCTTATTTTGTCTCACTTTATCAAGGTCTCTGAGTAACCTTGTCTGAGATTATGTTCAACAGGCGAATACCATGGCATAGCTGTGAGTGCCAGGGCAGCTTTTGTCAGGGGCTGCTTTTGTTCCTTTCTCATCCTTTAACTTCTCCCTGATTAGCACTAAAGAAATTAATAGGTTTCATTCAATTCAGTCCAGAAGTCAATTAATGAACTCCTTCACTGTTCCTCTTCCCTGAAGCTGAATGGATAATGGTTTAATAATCCAGTTGCGGAGGTACAGGTTTAATGAGCCACAGTACGTGACTTGAGGCAACTGCACCTTCCTTTTCCTTGTAGCTCTATGACTCATCTCTCTCTCTCAGTGTGCTTAGATCACTTTTTTCTTCTTTTTTTACTTTGTTTTTTTATTCTCAGCCCTTTGGTGGATGTTATTGCCAAAGAGAATACCTGAACAAGTAAGGAAATTGACCTTATTCAGTTAATTGCAGTATGAAGAGCACCCCAGATGCGAAGATCAGGGTTTCTTGGCAGGGTGGTGTTGCCCTAGTCTTTTATAGGGAGGAGTAGACAGGTTACAGGTGGGGGAATTCACAGGTGGGTTTGTTTTGCAATCAGGAGGCATCTCAGTTCCCTGAAGAGGAAATTTTTAACTTTGTGTCTAGCTAGTTTGAGGCAGACAGATAGTTCTAATCTCAGCTAATCATTCATGAGACAAAGAATGAGGAATTGGGGAGTCTGTGGCTGGCCTCCTCAGCAGGTTTGGGTGAAAGGGGAAAGATCCGTGTTTGGTCTTGTCACAGTCACAAGTCAAGCAGGGAGACATGAGAAAGAGTCGACAGACAGTCTTATCTAAGTCACATGGAGAAGGATCGTTCTTTTGGGTAAACCGTTTCCCAGAACATAAAAGGGTGGGGGATTTCCGAAAACAAAAGGTTAAAAGGTTGAAGGGATTTCTTTTTATTCTTTCTTAAAATATTTACTTAGTTAGTCATTTGGCCGTGTGTCGGCTCTTAGTTGCGGCATGTGTGATCTTCATTGTGGCACGTGGGATCTTTCGTTGTGGCACGCAGGCTCTTTAGTTGTGGCTTGTAGGCTCCAGAGTGTGCAGGCTCAGTAGTTGCAACACATGGGCTCTGTAGTTGTGGCATGTGGAATAAGTAGTTGCGGCATGCGGGCTCAGTAGTTGTAGCATGCAGGCTCCTGAGTGAGGGCTCAGTAGCTGCAGTGTGCAGGCCTAGTTGCCTTGCGGCATGTGAGATCCTAGTTCCCTGACCAGGGATCTAACCTGCGTCCCCTCCATTGAAAGGTAGATTCCCAACCACTGGACCACCAGGGAAGTCCCTGGAGGGATTTCTTTTTTTCTAATTTTTATAATTAATTAATTAATTTTATTTTTGGCTGCATTGGGTCTTCGTTGCTGTCCGTGGGCTTTCTCTCCTTGTGGTGAGCAGGGGTTACTCTTTGTTGCTGTGTGTGGGCTTCTCATTGCAGTGGCTTCTCTTGTTGTGGAGCATGGGCTCTAGGCACATAGGCTTCAGTAGTTGTGGCTTGCGGGCTGTAGAGCACAGGCTCAGTAGTTGTGGCACACAGGCTTAGTTGCTCTGCAGCATGTGGGATCTTCCCGGACCAGGGCCTGAACCTGTGTCCTCTGCATTGGCAGGCAGGTTCTTAACCACTGGATCACCAGGGAAGCCCCTCTGGAGGGATTTCTTAATGTCACTGTTTTCTGAAAGTACAGAGCTCAGGTAAAGTTCAATGTTGTCACCATCAACCCTTTCTTGTGCTTGTGCGTTTTTTGGGAAAAA